CAATATTGTTAATGATGAAAACTTGTTTTTTTTTTTTTAATCTCTTAGTTGCCAAATATTTTGTATGATGATGGAGACAGTCAGTAGAATACTTGGGTGGAAGAATGCAAAGTCAATTCAAGCAAAGCTTTTAATGTTCCAATAGAATTTCACTCTTTAACTGTAGATAACACTATAATTTAAGTTCCTCTTCACTGCATGTTCGTTGTGGCTTTGACTTGAAAGAATTTAATTCACATTGATTCCTTCTCACAGTAGTCTTCTATAGTATAAGTCTTGTGAACTCCAAACATTGATTGGTTTCCTTGAAGAATTATGGCCTGTGCTGCTTGGCTGGTGCTTCCTTCTGATTGCCAGATGGCTACAGTTCTTTAAAATGCCAGTCCTTACTGCCTTGAATTCATTATATATTTAATGCTTTTTTGTTTGTTTGTTCTTAGTTGTATATTGTTGTAATTTTTTTAGTCATCTGCATACATTTTTTGGATTTTTTTTTTTTTTTAATACTAAGGGGAAGAGTATCTTCTGTCTCTCCCCCAGTGAGCAGAGGAGCACATGTATACATTTTGAGTGTAATTTTTATGAGGTATTTCTTTTTTTCCAGTGAGAATGTAGGGTGTTTTCTATTCCAAAAGATATACTTTCAGTTAAATAAACTTTTATTCTTATGTTTACGGTGAATATTACTCTTTAGATGTGCAGATCCTTGTAGAATTGAGACTTATGCATGTGCTTCTCTGACAGGGAATGCCAGTTATTTAGAATACAATATTGAGGGAACACAACATGCTCTTAATTTTTGAATACAATTCTGATGCAAGAATGGAAAAATTTAATGAAAGATATGTGATAAACACTTGCAAGTGTGGGGATTTTCCTAGCATCGTATTTTGTAATGGATTTTTTAAGTATTTTTCCATTTTATGATAAATATTTTCCATTTTTCCCAACAGCAAGTTCCATAAGAATTCTTTTTCCTGTAATCTAATGTACAATTTGATGTTGATATTGTAGAGTCTGTGTAGCTTTCCTAAAGTTAACAGTTCAGTTATCCCTTACTTCATGAGTGTTATCCTTAACTTCTGCCAAAGTATAACTGTAAGATATTTATACTTTACATGGTATGACAGCATATTTAGGTAATCAGAAGAAATATTACCTAAAGACAACCTAGAAAAGAGGTTCTGTTTCAGATGCAGAGGGATGTTGGCTTGGGAACCAAAGGAATAATCCAGTCATAAACAAATTTCCAATGGGAATTACAGACACCCTGCAGTGTAGTTAAGTTTTAAATTATGCTTTGAATTGGATTTGGAAGGGGGGTAAACAGTGAATGAGATCTAAGTTGATAAAGTCTTACCATTATCTTTAGAAAGAGATTTGGAAATGTTACAGTTGCAAATGAGACTAGCTGGTTAAAAGGTGTTAAAGGAAAAAGCAGAAAACTGGAAACAAACTGGGGTTTTTTTATACAAAAATGATGACCCGTCTGAAGAGGGTAAGGAAAAACTTTCAAAATACGTGCTGAAATAGTGAATTAAAGCTGGAGAGGTGAGAAAGGAATTATGGACACCTGTTGTGGTGGTTTGCCTCTGGCCAGCAACTAAGCCCCATGAAGCCTCTTACAAAAAAACTGTGGTTTGAGATAAAGACAGGTTAATAAGGGGAAAAAAAAAATAAAAATGGGGGAGGAGTAAATCAAACCCCAGAAACATGAGTGATGGAAAAAAAAAAAGAAAAGTAAAAAGACAGTAGCTCACCACCAGGTGACCAAGGCCCAACCAGTCCCCAAGCAGCAGCAGGCAACCTACACACACACACAGTTTGCATGACACGATATGGAGTGAAATATTCCTGCGGTCATTTGGGGTCAGCTGTCCCAACTGTGCCCCTTCCGAACAGCTTGTGTGCCCCCATCCTGCTCGCTGGAGGGGTGGGGGGAGAAGCTGAGAAAGGCCTTGACTCTCCGTAAGCACTGCTCAGCAGTAACTGAAACATCCCTGAGTTGTCAACAGTCTTTCCAGCACAAATCCGAAACACAGCACCATGTAACCTACTGTGAAGAAGATTAGCTGTGACCAAGCCAAAACCAACAACAAAGGTCTTACATATTTTCAGAGATTTCTTTGAAATGATAATGGTCTGTACAAGTGTAGATGAAATGGAAAATTATGCTGAAACTACTGTACATGACTCATTTCACCTGTGTGGTGAAACGGCTGGTGCATACCATTGTAAAACTGCAAAATAATGCACCTCTTTGATCAGCTCTCGCTTCTCTGTGGAAAAGCCACGTAGATTTCCGTTAATTCTGTGGTATTCTGGAGCTCTGTGTGAGTATGAGATTTCAGGAGGGATTTATTGTGTCATTGCTGGTGCACTTTATTTGAAAGTACTAAATATTAGTACAATTAGTTCCATTTTAGGATACATAATCCTTTCAGTTCCCTAGAATAATCTGAGCTGTTTTCCATAGTAATTCTGTGTTTACGTCACAGATAATACAGAGGAAGACTCCGAAAGCTGTAGTCCTTTTCTACAGTTTTCTTCCCCTGTTTCAGCATCTTACATCCTCTTTTCCTCTTCCTTCCCAAAATTAATGGTGATGTTGAGATAAGCTTTTCCAGCTCTTGGATTCTCTCTGTTGCGGTTTTGTTGTGTGTTTGGGGAGAGGGAGAGCAAAACAAGGAAGTGACCTATGTTTTCAAGCCTCTTCCTTCTCTAGCTAATTTTTAGTTTTGCTGGGATTGCTTTTTCCCATTTAAAAGATTGTATCAGTCAGTTCCATTTCACTTGTCTTTAACAGATTATTTATCTAGTGTGAGAATTGCTAGTTACCTTTATTATAATCTGTTTTCTGATGATAATGCTTCTTGAATTTTTGTATGGTTACTACTGGATGGGGTTGTTACATGACCATGAAATTGTACTGTGATTAACTTGTGTTTTGATGTGGAGAGCAGAGGGAACAGTCATACAGTGAAGGAAATTACATTTTCTCTATTCTCAAGGGTAAAAGGAAAGTTCAAGTCTGATCTCTACCTCACTCATAGTAGCAGTATCAGCCATTAAAAATATTTTGGCCTTCTAAAAATAATTGATGTTGACTACTATAAGAACCTTCCTTTTTATTTAACAAAGGTTATAAAATCTGTACTTTCACATTAATAGGCTTAGGCGATGCTGGTTGAAAAGGCAGTAACATTTAATTAGATTGACACACAAGCTTTTTCCTTCTGCTCAGTTTTGTGGGTTTTGTTGGAAACTTCAAGCTTGGAAACCATTCTGTTGTATCTGTTGCTTGGTAATGTTTGTTGGACAGACTACAGAGCATCTCAGGGAGCAGACTTCCTGGGTATGAATGCTAAGGTGAGAGGTGAAATTATGGAAGGTATGAAGATGCTGGAGGGAGGAAGAGAGTTTCTTCTCCTTCCTGTTGGTCAGGGAGGAGAAGAAACTTCAAGGAAGTGGATTGAATGTCATAACCTGGGAGGAAAGCATACTTTCCTGAAGCATTGCTGACTACTAGGTTAATGTTGTTATTATTATTACTTATTGAGGAATAGTGGATGTCTGGAATATGGATTTATTTTCATGTTTTGAACAACCGCGGGTAATGCACATTTGAACAACCTCTGGCTGTTTCTGGGATGAACCATTGACCTGCTAACCTGGAGCTTACTGGGGGTAAACATGAACATCAGTCATATCAGAAATAAGATGTAGATTTTAGGTTGTTGTGTATTCCTTTTGTTCACATTTCTTGATGTTGAGTAAGTCTTTGAGTAAATGTATTTGTTGCTTGTGATTTGTGATAAAATGCCAAACCTGAGAACCTGTGTCAAGTAAGTGAATCAGTGTGACTGTGTGAAATGGTAAATGAGGGACAGGACACAGATGAATTGTCAGAATCAGTCCATGCCACTAATTTAAAGCTTATACACGAAAACCAAAGTAAGGTGTTGCACTTAGTTGATTATGATTTTACATGTTTGAGCAGGACTTGGTGTTAGAACAGGCTTCCTGAGATGATTTCTTATAACACACACACATATATATATATATGTGTATATATATATATATGTGTGTGTGTATATATATATATATATATATACATATATATGTGTATATGTGTATATATATATATATCCATTCTTGATCCCGTACATCAAGAATGTATTCCTGCAGCACTGGAAAACTAGACTTTCCAAAATCCCTATGATTTAAGCATGCAAAATGACTAGAGCGTACAGGCAAGACTACTCTTGAAACCAAAGATATTTCCTAAAATTAGTTTCAGTAATTCAAGCAATTGTTTTACAGTATGTTTTCAACATAATTTTAAAGTGTTTGTCAAAAGCATTAAAGTCTTAGTCCTTCTGTTTTTATGTATTTTAAAATAGTATGAAATAGAGGCGGTACAAACTTCTTTTCCTCCCCCTTAGTCATTACTATGGTATCTAACACTGTTTAAAACCAAATATGATAACTAGTCATTAAGATTTCATAGAAGAACCAGCAGTGGTGCATTGTTTGTTTTGGGTTTCTTTCTATATAGTCTGCGCCTTTTTTTTTTTTCTGTGTATGCCTCATTTAACAAGCAGTGTGTACTTCCTATCTTTTATGGATAAATTAATAGTTCTAATAATATTTTGGGTTGCCTTGTTATTTCTATGTATGTGAGCTGTGAAGGGAGTTTGCCATGTCTTGACAGAAACATTCCAGGGATGTGGTGTTTAGCTGTCACGAGTTGATGCAAATTTAAGCATTGTTTTGAATATTGATTCGTAAAGTAATTTTGATAGAGTTTGCAAACAATGCAGGTAAAGAATAGAAGTACTTAAGAAACTGTTTGTAAACATGTATTTTCTGTTGTATACTAATCCTGGTTTCAAATGTTTGCCTAAATAGTTTTGCTTTCCAGACATTTTCAGTTATTTAATTTTATATTTGTTGTTATGACACCATTTCTATAACTATGCCTTTGTTTCATTTTACAGAGGAAATAAAGGCTGAAACTGAAAAGCAAAGGTATGTGATAGTTCATCATATTAAGTGACAGTGCTTTTAACATGTTAAAATGTTTATGATACTTACTCTGCAACGGGAATACAGGTTCTCTCTGAAAAGTATTTTCAATATATTTTGGATGGCTGGTAGTATCTGGAAATGTGCAAATAGTGCTATTTATGTGACTGGCTGCTGTGGTGCAAGGCACAGGGCTTGGGAGTAGCATCAGAAAATAGCTTAGAGAGGGCAGGCTGATACTGTCTGGCCAGGGAACGTAGGAAATGGGAATCAAAATTGGGAAAGGTCTTTGTGGGTGGCACGGAAGTTTCTTTCTTTGTATTGGTGGAGAAGCCTTGAAGTGGGCTCAGAGAAGGGGGAAAGAGCCTGGAATGCAGATAAAAGACTTGAACTGTGAGTGAGCAAGGAGAAGAGATCGGGGTGAGGAAGTGGGAATGAGCAGAGAAAACCAGTGTAATTTGAAAAGACAGTGTGTGGAAAGGACCTTGTTAGGGAATAGGTGTAGATTTGTGAAGGCAGTTCATCCGTGTGTGAAGGTAGAACCAAAATTTGACATTCAGCACTCTTCTGCTATCAGCAACTAAATTTTTAAGTATTGGTAAGCTGTGGAGAGCGTTATTAGTATTTACGTGTTCCACAGTGTACATTACTGACTGTGAGTCAGGGCTGTGTGGTGAGGACTTTTTATACCACCTGTTGAAAGAATCAGATCAGTGTGTGAAACTGATGATGAAAGTGTTCTTACAGCTTAAGCAGATGGGAGCTGCTTGGGAATCTGTGTTCTGCCCTGGTTTTGGGCAAATCATTTCAACCACAGCTGTCAAAATTGGCTTCTAGTGATTTCTACTTCATCCCCTGGGTGTTTGAGCTGAAATCTGCAGTTTTGGACTTGGAAAGTATAAGCACATCTAGCTGGAGGGAAAACCAGTGGGAACTTAATTTCAGAAGATGTAAAAGAAAACTTTATATCAAATACGCTGGAAAATTTAGTCATGCAGCTTATCAAATTGGGCACATAAACCTTAGTGGGTGCATCTGACTGAGGCTGTTGCTTCATTTTCCACCAGCAAAATAAAATCATTAGCTCAGAGTGGGATTGTAAAAATAAATTTAATATTTGTGTAGTGTTCAGAAGGTGTTGTATCTAGCACCACAAGACTGTCTCAGACAGAAAGTAATAAAGTGGATTTATAATAAGGTTTTCCTAGAGTAGTATAAATAAAGCAGAAGTCCACATTGTGAAAAGCATGATAAGAAAAAAAAAAACAACAACCAAACTTTAATGTTAAATATTCAGTGAGAGATGTTTGTTCTGGGCACTGAATAAGGAAAGGTAATATCTGATCCTGTAGTTAGATACCATGGTAAAACTAATGAGAATGCTGAATTATAATTATCTATACAAGTATGATTCAGCCATTTCTGAACTTGGGGTGTTTCATTCCCTGTCCTAATAATGTCTGAAGTTGTGTTTACTTTGGGGGTAGAAAGTGTCTGCCTGTGTACATTTTCTAAATAAATTTTGATTTCTTCAGTGCTGTCTTTATTTTGACAGTAGCTTTTGCTACTATGAAGGCATTGCTGGACTTGGAAATCGTGAATGGACTTCCTTATTCTTACTGTAGAGTCGATTTTTTTAGATGCAGTAGAAAATACTGTTATTCTAGGCCTTAGAATAGATAAACCTCTTAGTTTACCAAATTTTTTTCAGCTTCTTATTTCTGTAATTGAGATTTGAATACCCTATCTAGGAAATTCTAATGCTGATTCTTTAAAATTTTCCAGTCCCTGTTCAAGGTAACTAATCTCACAGTTAACCTGGAATGCATTGAAAATTTAATGATTTCCAGCTTTCAGAAATTTTACATGGAAAACTGCTTGTTTTGTTGGTTTTTTTTTTTAAATGGAGCTGGTATTTGTTAGTGGAGTGGAGGGGAATGGAATAGAAAAGTGCAGGCTGATTTATATAACTGGTACACAGCAAATGCTTCCAAAGTGGTTTTCAAAATCCATTGTTTGATACATACCTTAGCCTTTTCCTATTGCTGATATGTAATGGTCAGCATGTTTCATAATTCTCATGCTTGGTAGATGCCTTGGTGGAAGAAAGTTTTGAGGATAGTTTTTGGTTTTAGAGTCTGCTGGGAAAAAACCAAACATCAAAAAACCAATAAATCAGCAGAAGCAATTCACTGACATTAAGCAGAAATGTATTCTCCCCTCTGTGCTATCCCCTTCCCTTACATCATCAGTAACGTGATGAGGTTATTGAGTTGCTTTCCAGAGACAGGTGTGCATCATCTTCCATACTAAATATCTTACCCCTTTTAAAATAGCTTTCAATTAAGAGGAGCTTCAGGCCTGTTCTGTAACCTGCTCTGGCCTGGGTTCATCATTTCTAGAATCTCATCATGGTATGCTCCTTGTCTGGAACAATTCTGGGTTTATTTCTGGAGTGCTCTTTTTAACTTAATTTTAATGGTTTCAATAGACATAATCACTAGATGAGGAACAGTCTTGTCATAACATAAGCAAGAGATAACCACCCTTTCGTTCCTCAGAGAAAAGCTTTTATAAGAATTTCAGAGAGATTTAAGAACATAGAAGAATCATATATTTATTTCCTCTGCAACTTATCTGATTGGAGTTTTGTTCGAAAGAGCTCTGCTTCCAGCAAAGCAACACAGGGCAATAAATAAAGTTGCACATCCAACAGAAAAACAAACCTCTGATTTTCTTTGGGGGAAAAAGTTGTAGGGATAAATTAAACCTTAAAAAGAAATGTTACTTAGTAGAAAGTAGCATTTTAACACTAATTGTTCACTATTAAGACCTAAAATTTAGGTGCCCTTTTTAAACAACCTAAACAAGGAGCTCTGTTTGAATGTTGTACCAAACATCATCTCAAGGACAATCCAGCTTGCTTCTTGAAAAGCTAAAACTAATGTATATTGATTAGTTTAAGGCTCACTTCATGATGCATGGGACTGCAATCATTCCTTAGATTTATAATAAACTCTTGGCAGTTCATTCTTCCACTTCAGTGATGTGAAATTGAATGTATTCCTTGAAGCATCTGATTTTATTTGCAACATGCGTAGGACCTGTGTTTGAATATAGTTGTTCTGTAAAGATCTATTTGCGTTGCTGCAAGAATTTTACAATCCTTCACTACAGAATATGATGTTAGGCCTTTTTTTTTTTTTTTTTTTTTTTTTTTTTTTTTTTTTTTTTTTTTTTTTTTTTTTTTTTTTTTTTTTTTTTTTTTTTTTTTTTTTTTTTTTTTTTTTTTTTTTTTTTTTTTTTTTTTTTTTTTTTTTTATATATTGCTTGTGAAGTCTGTTTAAGACAGTGTAGTTTACCTTTAGTGTAAAGATACCTGTGTGTGCACAAAAAAGGTCAGGAATGCTTTATAGTTGATAAATGATGAGTTCTCTGTGAAATAAAAGATCTGAACATCTTGCTTTCAGCCAAAGGCAAACTGTATTGATGCACCCAAATTAGTGAAAAATGACCCATTCTTAAGGACCCTTTGTCAATAAGTATTAATGAGCATGACCTTTCTAAAAGTGCTGTAAGCAATAAAACTTCAACAGCTCATAATCTTCTTGATTTTGTATTGTTAGTAATTTTAACAATGTGAGATATATTGGTAATCATTGAACTCTTAAATTCTGTGGTGTCACCTGAAGCAGAGATAGGGTGAAGGTTTGGGTGGGTTTTTTTATTAGTTTGTTGATTTGTTTTTTTCCCCTGAGTATGTTCAGGGTTGAAGTTCAGATATGATTTCATCTCCAAAATAGATGTACTTTCTCCAAAGTACTGAACCAAACTTGTGTCATAATACAGTAGTTGAGTAGTTAATAACTTTCAGGATAATCATTAGTTTTGGCAAGTTGTATTTTTATTGGTTCTAGTAGTAACAAGCTTGACATCTCTGAATTATTGTTTGATGTGGAAATTGTATTGAATAGATTTTCTTCTTCTCTGTTTTTTCTCTTCTTTTCTTCCTCTCTGTTTTCACCAATCAAATAACGGGAGTCTTTTCCTATTTGAGAGGAAACAAGTCTTATGCCTTCAAACCAGCAGGGACCACTGAATATCCACTTAGTGTGCAAATGGGTCAATTTGACCAATCCATAAAGGAGACATGAATTCTAAAAAGCTGTTAAGAATATTTTACATTTTACCGTTAACTTCATGGAAGTTAGTCTTTCCCGATGTTAATTTTCTTGATATTTTATTTCATTCATGAACATTGTGGGGGTGAGAACTATTTGTGTGATCACTTACAGCATTCTAATACAGTCATTCTGTTTAGTCCCCCTCATGGAGAAGCAAAGTCTGGTTCAAGCACTCTTCCACCTGTGAAATCAAAGACGAGCTTCATTGAAGCCGACAAATACTTCCTACCATTTGAATTGGCATGCCAGTCCAAGTGCCCCAGGATTGTCAGTACATCTCTAGATTGTTTACAGGTCTGTATGAAGATGAGCTTTAACTGTCAACTTTAAATTCTGTTGCTTTAGAGGGGAAGTGCAGTTGTATGTAACAAATAATGTCATGGGATTTTTATTATTTTACTTTATTGCACACACAACCAAATAGCATTTATTTGTCATAAAAGGTGAATGTATGTTATTTATTATGTAGCGTATGTATGTGTTTATATGTGTGTATATGTATTACCACAGGTATGTGTTTGGATCAGTTTTATTATGTACAACTACTTCTTTTCATATGTTCAAATGTGTGTTGAACTAATACAGCAGGTATAGCATTAGCAAGTTCATTTTGTTATTCATAATTGTTGTAAAATAGTTTCAATTTGAGATATCTGGTCTCTCAAAACTCCTGTGAGACTCCTGTAATGTTTTCAGAACAAATTCTACAGCCTGGAATTTTACCATTCGTTTCTCCTGAGCAGCCCAGTTTGTAGTCACAGGCACATTCATGCCTGGCAAGCTCTTGCACCATGATGCTGCTCTGTATTTTTCAGTAGATGGGCTGCGGAGATTAACAAATACTCTTATGTCTGAAGTGTTCAGAAGAGAATTTTACTAATTTTGTAATAAATTCCACTTCTCGGTATTGAAGACCTAGTGAAAAAGAGGGATAAAAGAACACTTAAAACGAGAAGAAACACTGAAGCTACTAGCTAATCTTCTGTTTTTAAATGGAAAACGTTTGCAGCTGGTTTATCTGGTATTAAGAGCATTTGTGTGCTGACTACACATGAAGACTTGTGTGATGTGAGCTAGTTTTTAGAATCCTGTTCATTTTAAAACATTACTAACTGATGAACGAGAGCTTTAAGGTTAAGCTTACTGACAAACTTTGTATTGCAGTTGCTGAGTGAAAATGGAATAAATCTGGAAGACATTTAAAAAAAAAATCCTTGATGTTTTATGAGACATGGGGTAAAATGTACTGTTTTAATTATTCTGTGCAAGTTAGAGCTTTCAAGTGAATTTATTTATTATAACAAAAAGCCAGCATAATTTTTTAAGTTCTTATTTATGTGAGTTTTTTTCTTCTCTCCAGAAACTTATAGCATATGGGCACTTGACAGGGAATGCTCCAGACAGCACAGCTCCAGGCAAAAAATTAATTGATAGAATTATCGAGACAATATGTGGCTGTTTTCAAGGCCCTCAAACAGACGAAGGGGTTCAGCTACAGATAATAAAGGTAACACGTTTAATACCTCATGTATTTATCGTGATGACAGCAGGAAGACATTCGTGACCTCAGAGTTCAAGAGCAGAAGTGTTTAATTTGTAAATGTAATGGCAATTTTTGAATGCTTTCTTGATTCTTTTTCTTTGAGATGAAAACTCCCTGTCCTACGCTCCTTTCCCTGATTTCTCCCACTGCATTTTGAGTGTACTCATGGTTGTGACCTCAAGTCTTGTGCGCAGACCACAGGGTGAAATTTCATTCACAGCAGACTTGTGGAGCCTATAATTGTGCCTCCTCTAATTGTGAGGAATTACTGTCAAACCATCCTGCAATCCCAGTGGGGGAAATGGTAATTAAGCAGCAGATTTTAAAATCCATTTTGGAATTGGTTGATGAAATGCAATTAGACCTGGCAGTTGGGTGTTGCCACGGTAGCTTTGTGCTGCTGTGTCAAAGCCTTTTGCTTGAAGGAGGTCCAGGGTTCCTTTCCGTAGCTTATGTAAATGTTGCATGTGGAGTTTGTACAAATAAATGTTTCTGGGGAATCTGTTTTCTGATTGCAGCCATTAATTATGGGTATTTATTGCAGGAAATTATTGTGCCAAGTATGAGAAGTTAGCTACCTAGTGGAAATGCCATTCCCTGCTCCTGTATCAGCAGTCTTTGAATGGCTGTGATGGTGAGCAGTGGTGAAGAAAATAGTTAGAGTTAGTTATGAGAAATGGAGTGTTTGTTACCTCGTTGGCATTGTATTTGCTTGTTTTACTGCAAGGAATGTAGTTGGCTCTACATCTTTTCATATCTTAAATCTTCCTTTTCTTTGCACTCCACTTCTCCCGCAAATAGTTGTTAAAATGTTGGTTTATGCTGCTGTTTTCTAGATTTGTTGTGTTGTTTTACCCAAGCATTTAAGACATTTTTCATCTTGCAGAAGGAAGTTTTTGTTGATTTAAACTCCCAGTAGCTGGAACTATTATATCTCCCTGTCACTGTAATACTGTCTCTCTGAATGCTTTCTTTTATTTCAGTCTTCCTCTCCTGAAGGGGCTTATCTATGAGTTGGTATTCCTTCTGCCCAAGAAAAGGGTGGAGAAAATAAATTCTTGAAAAACATTAAGTGTATACATTAAGTGACTCAATTTTTTTTAGTGTTTACATTTAGCTGATTGCCATGTTAGAATTACTAGGAAAGTGGAGAGTACTGTCTTGACATTGTCTCCATGTTTGTCCAATACCCTGAACACTCTAAAAAGCCTGGAAATTAGAAATAACTCTGGCAAAGACCAGAACTTTTTACTTTGGAGGAATAATGAAATTGTTACGTCAGTCATATTCTCATAACTCTTCAGTTCTGAGCTGAGTGTGAACTCCTTCATTATGATTTGAAGGATTAATCATGACTTTTCGGACTCTTCTGTGGTCCTAGTGATTAGTATGTTGTCTGAAGAATTTTAATTCCATCTGGGAGATAGAAGGCATGGGGGACCTGCATCTCCTGCTTTCCTGTGCTGGTACTCCCTGGATGTTATCCACAGCATAAGCAGCACTCCCACAGGGCAGCTGAATCACCAACTCCACGGTGAAAGTTGAGAACCTTGATCTCTTGGACACCTTCCTTCCTCAAGTGTCTTGGATGTGCCTGTGGTTTGGGTGTTCCTTGCATAGTGTGGTGCCCTCAGTGTAGGATCTGGGAGCCCTTGTTGGCTCAGAGCTTACATGCAGTGCTGTTTCCTAGTTACTAGATGGCTTTCCAACGGTGGAGTCATCTTAAGCCGGTTCCCAACAACCAGAGCTTCTTAGGAGTTCTGAAAATACCTTTCTGCTGACTACCAAGGAAATAATCTTGCTGACACTGAGGAGTATAATTTGTCTTTTTTTTTTAGGTATCTAAGCTTAGAGGCACGTGTTGCACTTGTTTTGATGGGGGCCAGTTTAACTTTTGTATTCCTGTTTCTGCTTGCGTGTTCTCATCTCTGTAATGCCCTTGTTCTTTGTCTGCAGACCCTGTGATTAACCAGACTGGGAAACTGGCCTTTTCCTTCCTTTCTCTTGTAGTTTAGTTTGATTTGGTGTAATTTTGATGTGAAGCCATGAACATTTCTTGCTTGGTTGTTATGATGGGGATTGTTGTGGCAGGAAAAAAAGCAAGTAATCACTGGTGTGATTGAAAATGGTTCATGCAAATTATGTTTGAAATCTCCTCCTTTGGCTGAACCTTTTTGCCTCCAGGCTTGCTCTCCAAGGGCTACTATGGCATTGTCACGTGGGAGTGCAGACTTCTGTTGACAGCTGCAGAGGACTTAGTTGAAGTTCTGTTTACATTTCTGTCTGGCCTATTTATTCCCAAAGAACTAAAATTATGGCAAAAATTGTATTAATTTTTTTTAAAAGTCTGTAAAGAAGGAATAAGGATGAGAAAGAAGGATGGAACATGCTATCAGCTGTGTTCGTTTTACCTTGGCCTGCTGTATGGAAAGTATTTGTTGTTATCTAGATACTTTTACAGCTTAATTTACTCATCTTTGGCAGAGAAAAATTATTGTGTGTGCTTGATAGCTGTAGTCTGAAAACTTGAATGTTATTTAGTGATGTTTTCTGAGTCTTCATTGTGCAATAGGCTTTTCATAAGGTCAGCTCCTGACTGTCTTTTTACAACTGATCACACTGTCAGTATGACTAGTGTCTCTGGAGGAAGAAAAGTTGAATCAAATGTCACTTGCACAAGTTGCCTTTTGAAACTTACGGAAAATAGATGACAACTCGTTGGTGGATTACAGAATGGGAAGTCTGTAAAGGCTGACTGATTCTGAGCAATAAGGAGAATGTTGGTGGATTTGAAAGAATTATAACAAAATTTGCATGAAAACAGATTTAGAATTGAGAAGACACTTAGAAAGAACTAATTCAGTCCTATGTCCTTTTATGTTTCAGTAGTGTGGAATGTTAAGTAACTTAATCATCTACAGTATCATGTAGTAGTGTGATTTTTGTTTCCCATTAACAGATTGTTGAAAACCTAATTTCTCCTGCTGAGATTAGAAGGAGCTGTGGGTTATGGAATGCTTTGAGAATAAAACGATATAAGAAGTTTTTTCTGAATACTTGTATTTTGAGGCTTAAATTAACAGCTGGTTCTCGTTACTTAACATGAAAATGCTGTCCTGTCAGTTTGCAATTTTATTTTTTAGAGAAGGATTGTTTTCAGAGTTTCAGAAATACTTCTGTTTTGCAAAATGCTTATCCGGTTAATTCCATATTAGACTCTAGTTCATTTTGAACGCCTGAATGTCCATAATAAAACTAAATAAAACCTTATATTCTTATATAATTTATATTCTTTGTTATCTTCCATAGCAGAAACTGGAATATAGTTCTCTTTCATTCAGAAACTTCATAATCCTTCAGTGAGTTTCATGGCTGGCAACTGACCAAATGCTTGAGAATATAGGTTATTTTTTCTTAAACTTGATGTTACGTATATTAAAATTACTAGTTAAAATCAAATACTAAGTCTTACCGGTATTTAATAATTTCATTATTACTGAAATCTGGCATACAGTCTAGGATGTGACATTGTTGATTTCAATCACTGTCTTGACTGTGAAAGCATGCTGGAAGCAAACACTGTGTTTTTCTGTTCTTCATACCCTCACAGTGTATTTCCACAGTGCTTCAAAGTTGGTAAACTAAGTGAGGTAAACTTAAGTATTTTAAAGCAATGTAAATATGTAACATAAGTGACTGAATAATTTGGAAATGGTAAAAAGCAGAAGATTAGATTCTCACTTGCTCACAAAGAAAATGTTGCTTGGAGAATTACATTACTGCATTCTGCATGATAATTTTTTAGTGTCACTTATATTGAAAAATTATTTATCTGTGAAGGCTGTTTGCTGTGTTTGTTGTTTTCTGGTTTGAGGACTTCAGTGTCCTGTGTTTTTTCAAGAGTCAGTCCGTAGTAACACATTATTTCATGACAAGTAAATGTTGGGACTTGAAGTTAACTTAAAAAAAATATTATTGAAAATAGCCAAATAGCACCTCTCAAAGAAGACAGAATTAGGTGGTTCCAGTAGCTAATTAACACTAGAGAGGGGAGTTAGGGCTACTGTGTTTTATGTACTGTCTCAAGTATTCAGGAGTTTCTAGGCAAGTGAATTACGAAATTTAAACAAAGTATGCCCATGCTGATCAGATGACAGCTCTACTGTGTCATAAATCTTCCAAAGATAAAATGATCAGAGTTGGCTGAGAGGAAAAAATGACTGACCCTGATGTGATGGTTTGGACTTGGCTCCCTGCCAAATGCCCAACCCCCCAGTAGCAGCCCCTCTCTTCCCCTCTTTTTAGTTCCCCCAGGGCAAAGGAAAAAAAACTATGCAAATTGAAGAACCCAAAAACCAAGCTAGTTATATATAAAAAACTTATTTTATGTATATTACAGTTAAGATGCTATGTACACAGCACAGGGAATCCAAACACCCCCCGAAGGGATAGGGAAAGGGGAAAAAGGGACAAAAGGAAACAAAAAGGGACACCGAATAGATATGCACAATCAAACCTGAGAACTAGTAAAATAACTAGTAAAACAAATCTCACCATGTCCCTTAGAAAGCAGGATTGGCAGACACTGCCAGCACTCTCCAAGCTTCCACGTGGCAGGTCAGTGGATGCTGCAGGCCTCAGCCTTAGATAAGCGAGACCAATGCAGGGACCCACTGCTCCCGAACTCCGGCGGAAGAGAAGAGAAGGAAGGCCGCTTCTCCCCTCTTATTTATACCATGATTTACGTAAAAATTGTATGGAATACTGGGAACACTGCCCCTTCCTTGGTTACCAGCTGGTAACCAGGGAAGGCCTAGATTAAAACCACCACACCTGAGTTGAAAATTGTTCTCCTGGTAGTAATTATATTCTTTCACTGTAACTGTGCTGTTCTTGCAGAATATTCAGTGTGAGAGGAATGCAGAGTTAAGAGGGACAGATAGATGCTGGATGATTTTAGTAGAGAATTATTGTTAATTTAGTTTACTTTTAAAATTACATTAATTTTACCTCATGAAGTGTGATACTTCCTGTGCTAATACACTTGTTTTACACAATAGGAAATTCACTAGGCAAACTTACTTCAAGCTAAAAGAAAAAATGCTCTATGTGTCACACGAAGATAGGGTAATCTGTAACTCAAGAAATGATCCTGAAGATTCTTCTCCTTTCCCAGAGCCATCTGACGGCTGCTTATAAAAATGAATAAGCTTTATTTATAGTAACTAGGTAGCAGCGCATAACAGTAGGATCTTTCTTAAATTCAGAACAATAGGTGTAAAGGACTGGAAGGAAAGCATAAGGAAACAAACTCACAGTTAGGATGGTAGCCAGTAGTTTCAGAAGGAGGAAAGCATGTTGGCTGTTGGTATTTTTTCAGGCTTTGTGACAAAGCTTTTTTGGAAGGAACTGAAATATAGGGAGGTAGTGCTAACAATGTTTTTATGAAGTTTTCTTTCTCACAAAGAACAGCAAAGGAGAGGAGTACAGTAAAGTAGGCTGCTTTCTTTCTTTTTTTTTTTTTTTTTTTTTGTTTTTTTGTTTATTCGTCTCTCCTTAACTCACACTGATGATACTGAATGAAAACAGGTGAGCGAAGTGTGACCACAAGGAGTGGGAACTCAGCTGTGAAAAGCCTTGAACAGCAAATCTTTAGTATAACAGAAAAGAGCAACATAATGCTGTGACTCCAAAGGAGTAGCTTGGAAAAATGGAGGCATTTTCCATCTAGGCTTTGCTCCCAGATTTTGCCCTAGCATGTGTTTAATACTCTGAGTCTACTAAAATCACTTTTAAAACAAACAAACCTTCAAGCACCAGAGAACACCTGGGTGTTTTTATTCTGTTTAGTTTTTAAGTGTATTGATGTGCTGCTGTTAAAATAGCACAGGTGACTTCATGTCCCAGAAGACCCTGTTGCAAAGTAGTAAGAGTGTGTAGCTGGAAGGAAGGTAGAGCTTTTGTTGTTCATGTCTTAAGGATGGGCACTATTGTGTAGCAGTTTCAGATTTTGTGTAATAACCCTCCTTAACTGGGGACTGTTGCTGAGGTGATTGTCCTCTACACTGCCTCACCTCTCTTCCTTAGAAGTGTTGGACATAGTGGCTATTTGGTCACAGAGTAAGGGTGGGGAGTAACACAAAGAAAAGCAATTAAATGAGAAAGGAAGGGTTTATTTTTCTAACATATGAGTTGACAAGGATTTCAGAAGAGTAGCAGTGCTGCTGCTGATTAGAACCATCATGTGGTTTCTCAGGGTTAGCTGTCATGCCTGTTGTGGTAATGATGTTCTCTTTTATGATACAGAATTAGGTGATGTTGTTTAGGACATGTCATCAAATTAGCCCTAAATGGAAGCTGCCAGGAGGAAAGGATGTTGTTCAGAAAGTAATTGTAAAATACTTCCTGTCTCATGTTTGTTCTTGTATTTCTACTAGATTGTCATAGTAGGGGAAAAGAAATGGCACTGAGATGTGAAGTAAGCATGACTAATGGCCTGAGGATGGCTCTAAATTAGAAGGAAGATGAAAGATACTCGCAAGAGATCAAAGTTAAAAATGCTTATCAGTTTGCAAACCTGTATAGTAGTCATTAAGATTAGTCTCTAGTGCCTGGGAAGGAAAGAAACGCAAAAGAAGTGACTGTCATGAGCTCTGTAGCCAAGTTGAACTCTCTTATAGTTAGATATCTGCAAGGAGATGTCCTGTGGAAAGACTGACTTCTCAGTCTGCATAGATGATATTCAGCGAATTTATAATAATATCTTAAGGAGATATGTCTCTGTGTGTGCTGGAAGCATTTCTTGGCCTCCACGCCGCCTTATCAGATGGTATGAAAAGAGGTTGTAACAGGCATACTAGTAGGTCTAGTAGTCATAACGGGCATACTGAAAAAAACTCAGGAAATTCAGGCTTTTAAGCCAATGAAAACAAAAGAGCACATAATCCATCTGTAGCCTTGTCACCTTTTTTCTGCTAGCTGGCACTGCTTCCTAATGTTAAAAGTCAGGGGAAAAAAAAGCCTGCCTCCTCCTCACATAAAGATAAGGTGTTCCTTACCGCTCTGTTACCTGATCTTTTACAGGCTTATGTGCGTTTTTTTTTAAGTGAAGGAGATATTAGCTCAAATAGGAAGAAATAAGTGAATTTTTACAACACAATATTCTAGGATCTACCCAAAAAGAGTTTTTATAAAAGGCAGTTGTCCCTCTATAGCTGCCTAATCTCATACTCTGTTTGTCACATTTACATTTATTTCTGAAACAACTTTTGCACCCTTTGGCTTGCTTTCTAGATTTTAACAGGTAATTTGTTCATGTTTATGTCTAGAAAATTCTAGCATGACTTCTATTAACTACTTCTCTGATGACTGCATTGCTTGCTTCTTGCTGTTACATATTATGAAACATGTATTTCCTAGATACATTGATTACAAACACTCTCAGTTTAGCATAACTGATATATATGATGTTCTGACATGGCTAGAAGAGTACCTGGGAAAACATAACTAAATTGCAGTTCAAGATATGTATTTAGATGTATTTTAAAAGTAGTCCAATTTTAGTGTTTGTCAATTTGCAAACTTTTTGATTGCTAAGGTTCTGAGTGGAAAATATATATGTGTGTATGTGTTTGTTTATTTAGGCTTTGCTCACTGCAGTAACATCTCAACACATAGAAATCCATGAAGGAACAGTGCTACAAGCTGTACGAACATGTTACAATATCTACCTAGCAAGCAAAAATCTTATAAATCAAACCACAGCCAAGGCCACTCTGACACAAATGCTGAATGTCATTTTTGCACGTATGGAAAATCAAGCAGTGAGTATCTCAGTATCTTTATTTAGAAACTAGCTCTTGAAAGCAAACCAGCTTGAGAGGTTTGTTCTGTCTTTATTATTAAAATTTTTGGCTTTTCTGACTTAGATGCTTTGGGGGAAAAAATAATCTGGTCTCTTGTATTTTTCTTCTTGAGTTTTGCATTCTGAAATAATTGTCAAATGTGCTTTTTGGGGGGCGGTGTATAGATTTTAAACTTCTCATAGTGGTCCTCTATATTTAATAGATGTATTCAATTGCACTTTTTAACATTCACTTATGTCACTGAAAGTGCTGTGGTGAATTGTCAGCAAGGACCTCAGCATATGCCCTGTGCCTTCTACTGCTGATAGTAAAGATGAATAAGGCAAAATAATTGTCCTAAGTTCTGTTTTAAAAGACATTAAAAAAACCCTCAAAATCCACATAAGCAAAAATGCAGATATCCAGATTTAAAACCAGGTTGAATTCCTAGCTACTTCTAGAAGTAATTCTGCTGTGTTATTGCCAACTCCTAAGTTTGTAGTACTTTCTTACTTTCCCTCCAGAAGCAACTGCATATTGGTACCTGGTGCCATCACAGTTGAAGCAATAGGAGAGATCATATTTATGATAAGTGTCAAGAGCCATGCAGCACCTGAAAGCTTTGGGGAGGCAGTGCAGTTAGTGTCCTTCTAAGTAACCTAATTAGAAGAGAATTATTATTATTATTATTATTATACATTGGAAATCTTCATTTTTGCCTAAAAGTCTAATCTTGATAAGCCGTCCTACTTGTTTTGCACACTCAGTGCAGTTATTTCAGTAAGATACCTAACTAATGCTAGAAGGAATTTTTTGAGCTGTAGTTTGAGTTGTATCTTCCTGGGACTCTCTGGCACCCCAAAAGATGCAAGACTGAAAGCTGTACGTGGAAAAGAGTAAAGGGCTGAGATCACAGTAGCCAAAATAACAGTATAAAAAGTTACAAAGGTTTTGGTAAACACTAGACTCTGCGGGGATAGAAAGCCAGTTCTTAGAGCATCACCTCAAAGGATGTCCTGCTTTGGTTTGACTTAAATGTATGTTGTCTTAATGCATTAGGCAAGTGACAGAAATTCTTCCCTTTCTCAGAGATTCCAGATCAAGGGACCACAAAAAAAAAAAAATCTGCTTTTGTGTTTTTCCATGCAGTCCTTGTTTATTGTCACATCTGCTCTCTGAAATTCCTCATAGGGCAGGCAGACAACTTTTGGTCTTATAGTATGTGTAGTGTAGTCATCCCTCTTCCCACATTGAAGGTATGGCTAAGTGCAATGTGCATCGTTGCCTCCTTGCAATGAACTATCCTGTGATATAAAAATTACTTATGACTAAACAAAGATGCATTTTCTTGAACTGTTACATCTTTTAGGAAGGTACTGTGCAAGCAGAGACAATAGATATGTCATGTTTATAAAATAATGTATGCAGTTTATTATTATATTTCGATAGAGAAGTTCTTGTGTGTTTGCAATGCTTTTTTAGCTTCAGGAAGCCAAACAGATGGAAAAGGAAAGACACAGACAGCAACACCATCTACAGCAGTCTCCACTAAGCCATCATGAGCCTGAATCACCTCAGCTGAGACATATTCCAGCACAGGCTGATCAGCTGTCCAAAGACCACGAGAGAGAACTTGACCACAGCACAAATGATATGGACAAAAACCTTCAAGAAGATATTGAGGCAGAAAATGGATCTGACATTTCTAGTGCTGAAAATGAACAGACAGAAGCTGACCAAGCCACAGCAGCAGAAAGTAATCAGTGTGTATTTTTGTTTCTTGGAGGGAGGGAAATGTCTGTACAGAGAAAGGTTTAAGGATTGTCTTTTTTTTCTTTCTCCCAAATCTGGAGTCAGGCACATGTTTTCAATATTTTCAAGTAGCTGACTAACACAAAGTACCTCTTGTCCTTGTTAGTACTGTTAAACTTCATCATGAGTATTCTTTAGTCCTGCACTGTTGTAGTCACTGTAGCAAAGACTCCGTTTTGTATCTATGGTATATTGTGAAAGTTTTTGAGAATAACACCTTAAAACCATCGACTTTTCAGTGTTTATTGTACATGAAGATACAAAATTGATGTCTTTTGTTGGCATAGGCCTGTATATTAATTACCATTAACAGGTTGAACCCAAAATTCTTATATTCTGCAAATACCTGTTTTTGAAGTGTCCAAACATGCCTTTTTAAATATATACTCTCCTGTTAATAATTTGTGATTGCGTTTTTAAATCCTAAATGCAAGCAAAATACCTTCTTAATTTCTGAGTTTATCATTAATGTTTGTTTGTATTTGTTCTTTTTTATAAAGATCTTTCTAAAGCTGATGGAGGAGCATATGATGGAGAAAGCAATGAGTGTGAAGAGAAGGCACAAGAAATTGTAGAAAGTATTGTGCAGGAAATGGTGAACATAGTAGTTGGAGGTATTATATATTATGTAATATTATATAATATTTGTCTAGTCAATAGCAGTCTGAATCTTGACCTTAAGAATTATTTCAACAGTTTAAAATATTTAACTGAAATATATAATTATTTAAGAATTACTTACATACAGAAAAAGACGGGTTTAGTTGTCTGACCTTAGCTGTGCATTATTTAACAGTAAAATGGACAAGATTATTGATTTACCTTTTTATATTGGATACAAATGTTCTTTCAAAATGCAAAAAAGGTTGGGGTTTTCTTTCTGTTCTACATAAACAGTCTTCAGAAATGGGCCACCCTCTGTATTAGTAGGGTTATGATTACTTTTTTTAATTTATTGGAAATTGATTATAAAACTAGTGGGTGATTTCCCGTCCTAGTAATTCTTGAAAACTTGGTAGGAGGGTGACCCCAGCGATGTAAAGTTGTAGGTAATTTTCCTTGTCATAATTTACTTTTTAGTATTTAAATGTTAGTTTTACCAGCTCTTTTTAATTTTTAATCTCATGTAACATTTGTTAATAATTTTTCCATCTTTTCTGATAGATGTCGAAGGCACTGCTGAAAGTGCAGGTGGTGATGGCACAAGTGTAACATTAGAGGATGGCAGTGACAGTGAAAACATTCAGGCAAATGGAATTCCAGGGACTCCAATTTCTGTTGCTTATACACCATCTTTACCTGATGACAGATTATCTGTCTCTTCCAATGATACTCAGGTACAGGCAGTTATAAATTAGAAAATAATGAAAAAAGTAGTATGTTTTTAAATGTTGCCCAGTGCTTCTGCAAACTCTTTAATATAATTAAATAAAATAAGTTACTGAGACTAGTTTCAATGTTTCATGTTCTAAACATTATTCTTCCTTAACACACTATTTAAATGAAATTTTTCTAAGTAAATTTTTCATTTGTTGTCTCTCATATCCTACCATATTTTGAGCTGCCACACTGTTCCAAGATTACAGAACTCAGTTTCTTGTTTTGTGAACTGCTTCTGAGAAATAATAAAACTAGTATTCAAGATACATAGTGGAGAATATCGCCAATTATTGACATACCTGTGTAATTGTAGTGTGCTTTTTTCAAATGATAAATAATTTCAAGCCTATATCATGACCTCACTGCAGGGATTTTAAATAAATAGTTTCATGCGTGAGAGGATTTGATTTTCATTAACAAAATAGATGGCAAAATACATTCCCTCTGTTGTATCAGATATGGACAGATATACACTATTAACTGACCGAGTGTTTCTGCTGTCAGAGTGTGCTGAGTAATTAGGTTTGGGAATAATAAATTTGAAGCTTAAAAAGTTACAGTCACATAGGTCATATAAGGAGAAGGTTAACAGTAAATAATGTTTCTTATATATGGAACAATAATACAAAGTTGCAAGAACTTGGTAAGAGGGGTATTTATTATACCGTAGAAATTTTATCAAATGTGTCTGATGAGAGGATATATAACTACTCACATTCTATTAAAATGTCAAGTGTTTGGGTCTAGTTATCTACTGAAAATGCCTGAAGGCAGTTCACTGCAAATTACCCTACTTAAACTTGACCTACCTAATTTTGTGACAATCTTTAATTAATTCTGACTCTTTACTGAGATGGCAGTTTTTATTAGTGAGTGTGTTCATTTTAACTTGACTGCAGAATATTTTGTTTTATTTTAGTCTTGAGACCATAAACCTAAAGTGAATTGGTTATATTTGTATAATATATTAACTTCTTGTTGCTAGGAGGTGGGGATTTCCCTACACACCCTGCTAATGCAAAATGGAATACTGAAATATGTTAACTTCTTTAGGAATCTGGAAATTCTTCAGGACCTACCCCTGGTGCTAAGTTTTCCCACATTTTACAAAAGGATGCCTTCCTTGTATTCAGGTCACTGTGTAAGCTCTCCATGAAGCCCCTGTCAGATGGACCACCAGATCCAAAGTGAGTAAAATTTAAGAGTTTTCATAATCATCTTTACTGTCTGAAAATAAAAATAAATTATTCAAGTATTTTTGTGACTTCCCAGTTACTGAGAAAGTAATGGTATGGTAAAAAGAACCTAGAAACTTTGAAAAGGTACTTTTATGTTCTAGTGCATCTTTTGTATACCTGTTTTGAAGTTTCTTAACAACACCTATGCTTCACATAAGTACATCATTTCTTCCTAGTTGCTCTTAATAATGCTTTTCAGAAGGGTTTGTATAGAAGATCTTGAGGCATTTCTGGTCTTGGTTCATGTTGCTCTGCTTTTAAGTAATTTCTAACTTCATAACCATTGCTGTTTGTGCCCCACAATTTCTTTCATCTCTGACATACTGTGTGTCCAGTGCGCATACCCAGCTCTACTTCCTTTTAATATAAACTCCTCGTTTTGAGCAGACGTGTGTTCTGATAAGTTTATGCTACAGTATTTCATTCTTTTGTTCAGGTTGGACACTTTTGTCAGCCTACTTAATCAAAAGCCAAATGTTTTGAAACTAAGGTCTTTATTTGGCAGGTTTGGAAAGTTTTGTGCTCTGACTGAAGATACCATGTTTTCATCTTGGCTTGGAGGATTTTTTGTTGTAAAGCAAAAAATAAATTCTCCATAAATGGGTGCCAGTATTAAGTTTGAGTCTTGGCAAGAAAAGTTTGCTTTCTGATCTTGGATAGAATTTATATGCATACTCTTTTGCACATTAGGAGGAATTGCTAATAGTTTTCAAGAGGCCTGTTCTTTTGTTACTGGGATCTTAAAACTCTAGTATTACTTCAGATGGCAGTAATACTGGTATTCTTCAAAATAAAATCAGCTTTACTGTTCCAAGGTCTAGCTTTTAAAGCAGGTAACTTTAAGACAAGTTAGTTTAATCAGTGATGTGTGTTGTGGTTTTAATAAGCTGAAAAGATAATACATACTAGGAAGGGCTTGAAGGTTTAGTCTGGAACAATTCTTAAGTTTTCTAGCAATGCACTATGGAAAGTCAGGGTATTAGAGAATGAAGACTGAGGCATGGGGTTTATCCTTACTATTTTTGAGAATTGTCTTCCAGGAAATTCCATGAAAATCCTGTGGTTTTAGTTCTCTGAAACTAAAGCTGCCCATTCATTAAGTGCTTTAACTCCCTCTGCAAGAGCAGCAATAGCTGTTGAGGCTCTTGGAGCTTGACATTCATATTAGGACTGATAAAGCTTTTCATATAAAACAAATCGGAGGAAGCAGCATTTAGGGCAACAGAAATTCACTGCAAATACATTCGAAGATATCCTGTATTTGGAGAAGTGCCTAGAATTTATCAGTGACTCTGAGGCATTGATGGGTTTTTGAACTCTTACAAACATGCTGTAATTGGAAGGGGAGGCATAGGGTGTCTGCAGCATTTTAAAGAGCCTTATCTACCCCTTTAAAATCATATTTCCAGTGAAACTTGTTACGAAGTCTGTAATTAAATACTTTTAAATTTTAGGTAACTGGGCATGGAGCTTTAGCTTAAAATCACAAGACTAGGAGTTGAGATCAGCACTATGCTTCCTGGGAACCTGGTTAATGTCTTTGTTTCATTTTTCCCTGGAATAAAATAAGATGGGATGAAATATCTTGAAGGTCTGCTTGCTATTTTTTCCTTAAACTTATTTTAAATCAAGTGGGCTTTACATATCATAGAGGATTGATGAGCCCAGCATGTTAAGATTTCAGTTAGGAGCTGACAATTGCTGCAAATAGGCAATATTTAATATTTTATTTATGACTGAAATTTGCTGTCTACACACTTGATACCCTGTGATGCAAAATCAAACCTTTTGCATCAAGAGAGATTGTTATGTCAGGTTCCATGCAGCTGTGCTTGTGCCAGAGCCAAGCATTTCCTTGAAAAATTCCTACAGAGAGCAGTTTTGGGGCATTGACTTTGACCTGCAGCCCATTAGGAAGAATGAGAGGGACAAATTTGTCACTCAGTTTGGCTCAGTTTTCTTCTCAAAGGTGTCTTCAGGAAGAAGTCTACTGTTGGAATTACATTTTATGAGTTTTAAATGTTTGCAGATTGATTTCCCCATCCCACATTGTTTGACAGAAATAATTGAGCTTATTTGTAACATACTCATTATTAATTTGCATTTTTGTTTTTAACTAGACTGAAATTTTATTTTTTTTTTAAGTAAGCTTTTATTTTTGCAGTATACAGCAAATATCCAACTACTATGTGTGTCACATGCTGACTTGAAGCACTTCTTACCGTGTCTGAGCTGCACTCGATGAAAAATATCCTGTTGTTGTTCCTTATGGTTTCATAACTGTCCTCTCTCAGTGGGCAGTTGTTTAATGAAAGCTGTGGACTGTCCTGTTTGGAGAGCCAATTATGTCTTTACCTGCCCTTCAGAAGAGCTGTACTCTTTTTTTGAGATGATCAGAAGTGGGAAGGCACACTAGGAGTCTGCTGAGAGAATGTTTTCAGCCGGGATGTTTTTTACTGCTTTGTGTTTTCATAGATGCAAGTTTCCTTTATGCTTCCTTTGTGTGTGTGTGGTTTGGGGGTTTTTTGGCTGTTTTGTTGTGTTTGGTTTTTAAGGCATAAATAGTAGCACTGTTCTGAAATTCCAGATTATTTCAATCTGTAAGAAGCATGATGTTAACTGTGGGGCACTTGAAAATGCTGCAGTTGCCTGACTTTGTGATTGCCATGCTTAAAATAGGCATGTTATGTATCTTACCTGTTCTTGGAGTGGGATGGGGCCAGTGACTGATAAATAATATATCTTAGAAAAGAGATTTCAGTGTTGGCAGGAAGTAGGTCAGCCAGTACAGCTGTTGTCTTTATAGTCCTTCAACTCTCTTTCCATGCTGGTGGAAATAGAGAAGGAGGAGGAATTTCCACATTTTTGTAGTCAGAATTTGGTAGGTGGGCTGGCTGTTTTAGATGGGATCTTCCAAAGGTCCGTTAAAAGAAAAGAATGCTCCCTTTATCCTCTGATGCCTCCTGTTGCTGCTGTTCTGCAGTGCTGTGATGCAGAAGACAGAGTGGCTCAATAGTATTTTTTCCCTTTCTGTAAAAAGTTATTCATACCCACTTGGTTGAAGAATGACCACTTCAGTAAAAAAGATCAACGCCTTTAATGACCCTTTCTACAACAGGCTATGTCAAATTTGAGTGAATTTCATTAACGTACAACTTGCAAAATCATTGTGGTGTGTATTGACTTTTCAAGAGAGTGCTTTTTTTTGACTTAGGCTGAGTTTTTATGCTCTGTTTTTTTCTAGATCTCATGAACTGCGATCAAAGATTCTTTCATTGCAGTTGCTTCTGTCCATTCTGCAAAATGCAGGACCAGTCTTCAGGACGAATGAGATGTTTATTAATGCTATAAAGCAGTACCTTTGTGTTGCACTGTCAAAAAATGGAGTCTCATCAGTCCCAGAAGTTTTTGAACTTTCACTTTCCATATTTCTTACCCTCCTCTCAAACTTTAAGACTCATCTAAAGATGCAGATCGAGGTAAGTTACATTAATTTCTAACTAAAGAGTGGGGCATGTTCAGTGAACATTTGTTTTTTTGCTCGTAGCTCAGTCTCACTTAGATAAATTTGAGTCACAGCTTTTGTGTAAGACTTGCCAGATCTTCCTTGTTTAGAAGTTTTCTTTTGGCTGTGGTGTGTTCTTATCGCAGAATGATGCTGAAACTCAGAATTGAGTAGGTTTGTGGCTGAGCTCAATCCGTTTGTGTTCAATAATGTGATTAAGAAAGTTTAGCCCTGCACTGCATAGTACAAATTAGGAAAATGAGTACACGTATGAAAAGTCTACGTAATATATGGTTTTACAAATGAATTGTAAAAGAAAAATTAATGACTTGAAAAGTGTTTTGGATTCTCTTTAAGGTCAGTGGAACAGATTTCTTTCTCTAGGGAAATCCCAGCTATTTGATTATTGTAGCCACTTCTCTTTGTATATCAGGGCCTATATCAATATACATTTGGAATAAGATAATCTCATTTCCTCTAGAGATATGCACACAATTAAACTCCTTGGGCCATTAGTAGAGATAAGTCTGTATTCTTAGCAATAAGTTATCTGATTCCTTGCAGACAGTGTGAATTCTCTCACTGGACCAATATATTCTAAGTCATAGGGGAAAGCTAGATTTATGTAGAGGGTTTTTTCTTGATTTCTGCTCTTTGTACCCTAGTGTAGCTGTGTACAGAACTAATCTGTCCTTTGGAATCACGTGGATACCCTCTTGTGGTGTCCCATGTGTTAAAGATCTTAATTCTGTGGTGAATTAAGCAGTAGTGTGTACAGGGTGTCCCTACTGTGCATTTTAGTATTTTTATGTTTATGGAGTCAGTATGAACACTGAAGCCTACAGATTGCCCCATCTGTTTGGAGCTTAAGTGCGTGAAAAGATGCTGAGAAATGTTGATAACGTTGCTGTTATAACGACCTTGAATTCAGGGAATTCTTCATCTATAGATGTCACTGTACAAGTTGATATGTTATGGCAGCTTTGGAGGAAGAACCTCATTTGACAGTAGCAGGTCAGAAAAGGATTCTTACCAGGTTATTTTGGTACCTTTTAGGTGAAGAAACAATAGATTTTCCAGTATTTTATAGCAGTTGATTGAATGTGCCTTGAAAATATGATGTGTTTTGAAGGGTTTCAAGACAAACTGTGTGCTCAACAAGACTGTAGTGCATCTGTGGTGTTTAGGACATCAGACAGACTGGGCTGAGCTGCTCCTCAGTCACACAGCCTGCTTCCCAGAAAGTGTTGGACTTGCTATGTGCTCACAGAGCTTACAATCGGCATGTAGGTGGTGAATGCATTGCAGTCCAACTTCCCTGACAGAAATTGGATGGGTTTCCATCGCTGCCATCCTTTCACAAATTCCAGGCAGAAAATGAAGACATATCTGAGGAAAATGGGATACAGGATACACTACCCTATTGTAGCAGGTTCTAGAATATGTTGAATTAGGACCATCATCATATATCAGGGCTGTGTTTCCTCCTTGTGAGTATGAAAGCAAAAAAACTTGATGCTGCCAAAGTGTCCATCTATTGCAAAATGTGGGGAGCAGAAACTTTTTCCTAGTTGTGAGCTAAGAATTCCTCTTATTTCAGCTACTGATCCTAAAGGTTATTCGAAAGATGTGGGTAGACAAGTAGATAACTTCACATTCAGTTTGTGTCTTAGAGCTGTAAGGAGAGCCATATGCTCTGATTTATAATATGCAAAATCTATATATTTTGGGATTGAGGCTGCGTTCTTCGTCTGTGTAAGAATTTTCTGGCATATTTTAAAAGAAGAGCTTCAGATTCTGTTGGAACTGTCCCTCCCTTGGCCTTTTGACTTACAGTAGCTCTGACAGGTAAAATAGCTTGAGTTGTACACTAGTTGTATTGTAACTTTGTTTCTGAATGGGTCAGTGAATATATTTGCAGTCAAGTCCAAGATACCAGAGCAGTTGGGGTGTCATTTAGCTGTATTTACCATTACCACCCTTTTGTAATGGTCATTAATATAACCTGCCTTTAAACTCCTGCTCTCAGTTGATCACATAAATAAATAATTGACTCCTTTCTCGTTTACTTTTCCAATATACTAGGAACAGAGTCTCAACTCTGATGTGAATTACAATAAGTAACATAGTGATAGCATTTTTAAATATCTGAAATGTAAATAATCGTACAGTTTTGGGAAGCTAATCATTCCAAGACATGCTTCTCTAAAGGTGACATCAAAAGCAAGAAGTTCAGCTCTATCTTGGAAGCAGAGATCTGAAGTGCCTTCATAATATGCAGACCTTCCAGTTAATTTCTCTTCTAATTTAGATTTGGGTTTGGTTTCTGTTCTTGAAACTCTATTTCTATTCTATTCTTTTTTTTCTCTGCTCCATCAGTGGGGCTTTTTTTAAATTTTCCACCAGAAAAAAATATTTTCCTGATTTCAGGGAGTATATAACATTACTGTCATTCAGTTAAAAGAATCAGAAAACAGGAAATACGTAACTAAGGATTGCTCTTAGCATGACATTTGTTAAATTTTTGTCTTTGTAATGTCTGATTACATACAGTTGTGGTTAAAATCAGTCTAGTATTCTCTTGAGTATGTTTAGCCACTTGAAAGTCATTGATCTTATGTTTGAACTCCTTTAGTTTCATAGGGTGCTTTCCTTACTAAGACTGCTGTCTGGGATTGTGCTGTGTGCCTGTCTCTTTTTAAAGAGACATAACTGTTGTTAGCACATTTTGCTTGAGGAAATTACTTACTGACAAAGTTGCCTAGAAGTCAGCGTTGCTGTTTTTCCCCAGACACGTGACATAAAGTGCAATTACCCTTATGCTTACCCCTATGTGGCTAACAGCATAAAAACCTCTGTATAAATTCTGTACTATAAAGGAATAGCCAAATATTATAAACAAGAGTAGTAACGTATTTGGATATTCGCATGATGCTATTGGAGAAGAGAAGTGAGCCTGAGGCTATCAGCAGCGTTCTAGAAAAAACGTGCAGGTGGATTTGGTAGGCCACAACTGGCTGTGAGGAGCTGAACTCTCAGAAGTGCCAAACAGTGAAGTAGTGCTGCGTAGGATGGTGATGTAATGCCATGTAGCACTTCTCACTTTGAGCTCAGATGCCGTTACAGCAGTTGCTGCTGCTCAGGGAAGAAGTGAGAAGAAACCTGTCCTGCTAAGCATGCTTGGCTGAATTAGTCAGCCTGTAGTGCTGATAGATCTGGTGAGGAACTGAGAGGGGATAAAATCGTCTCTGTTCCAAACAACAGCACCTGTACTAAAGTGATTTCAGGGAAAACTAATGTCTCTTTTAAGGAAGAGTAGCTTTCTTATTAATGGACTTGCTGCAGTTTTTATGCTGTGCCAGTACCCTTCTTCCAATAATCTAATACCAAAGTGTGATTCTTTTGTGTCAGAATTTTTCCTTTCTAATGAAGGTCCTATACTTTCAATTTGTTTAAGTGGCTGTTTGTTACATTTTTACTGTCTTGTAGAGAAAATCTTTTTGTGATGAGGTAATAACCTCTCCTTTCAAAATCCCATATGAACTCTTAGCAGCTTAGATGTCTCGTTAGGCTAAATTGTCCTTCAGGGTCTGACATTATTCCCATCTTCTGGTTTTGAATGCTCAGAATATAAAGCAAATTTTTCATCTGGCCAAAACTCCAGAAGTACATAACTAACAATTCAAATTCCCAATCTGAATGTGTCAAGCGTAAGTTGTATTTCTTCCTTTCCTTCTTTTTTTTTTTTTTCCTCTTTATTCCCTGTATCTCTAAGGTGCTGCTTTCAGAATTATGTCAGAATTTTGGCATCAAAGTTAGTGACTGTGTTTGTAATAGATTTTTTTTTTTTCTCCCTCTTCCTGGAATATTTGTTAGGTTTTCTTCAAAGAAATTTTCCTGTATATCTTGGAAACTTCTACTAGTTCATTTGATCATAAGTGGATGGTTATACAAACGCTGACAAGGATATGTGCAGGTATGAAGGACCATTTGATTCTAGATTTTACATTTTTATCTTGAAGAACAAAACTGTACTCACTTTTCATTGAGTTACCTAGTTTTTGTTCCAAGTTTGACAATGTCACTTTATTTATAGATGCCCAGAGTGTAGTGGACATCTACGTGAACTATGATTGTGATTTAAATGCAGCAAATATATTTGAAAGGCTGGTTAATGACTTATCAAAGATTGCTCAAGGAAGGGGTAGCCAAGAACTTGGCATGTCCAACGTTCAGGTAAAAATTTCGCTAAACTTTATGAAGCTTCATGTTTCTTGGCATGAGAGGTTGAAACTAAACTCCACTCCACTAATTAATTGTTTATGAAATCTTTTCTAGGAATTAAGTTTGAGAAAAAAAGGATTGGAATGCTTAGTATCAATCTTGAAGTGCATGGTCGAGTGGAGTAAGGATCAATATGTAAATCCCAATTCTCAGACAACACTTGGTAAGACACAATATGTTTCTTCTGCCTTTAGTGAAGAGGTGCTGCAAGAGTTTAATGTGTACTGTCAATATCTTGATGATGTTAGTGTACAGATTAGTAAGGTCTCTTGCATTAAAGAAAGAGAGAATATTTTTTTTTCTTTATAGAAATATTTTTAAGTTTGCTGTCATTTGAACAAGTTGTCTAAATTATCTTTTCCTAATTGTATGAATTCGTAGAACACTATTACACTGAAAATTACTAAATCCTGTTATTTTCTGTATTTCTAATTTTATAAGGATCTCACAACTTGCTTTGAAGCTCCCCTAATTGCATCTAATTTCAGATTGATTAAATTACTACTGGAGCAAGCTGGATGGAGAGTAATTTTTTTTTACTTAATAATAAAAAAAATATTACTCATTTGTTTATTATTTACTTATTATAACTATAGAACTTTGAATGTTGTAAGCAGTGAAGTAACTAAATCATTAGTCTTGTTTTAATCCTGTTTCCGTCTGACCTGAGATGAGAAGTACTAAGGTTATGCCAGAATTTTCAGATTAGGTGCTTAAAGTTGGTAGGTGAAGTAATAAACTTTTTAGGGTGGTTAGCATGGCTGTCCTTGTGAGCTGAGAGCACCGACTCCTTGATGTGTCTACATTCTTTTAGACACTGTGCTTCAGAAATTCAGAATATTGTGGTTTTCTTCAGGTAAAAAGGAATATTGGACTTGAAAATAAAAGATATGAGATGTAATTAATTAGGTTTCTAAGGCCTCAAATTTTTTTCCAGGTGCCTACAAATTATAATTAGGGCTTAAATTTCAATATGTGACAAACTAAAAGAATTCTCCTTGATACTTTGTAGTGATTTATTATTATTATTATTATTATTAGTTTCCCAATTAAAATAAAAGCAGAATATTTTTATAAAAATAAATACATCATTGAAGGCAACCTTACTAACTTTTCAAAGCCTTTAGAAAGAATTTTAAGAATAAGCTGTGATTTTAGGGTTTTTTCCACTGTATGTATTTTGGATATATGTAACCCTTTTCAATTTCTAGGCCAAGAAAAACCCACAGAGCAGGACAGCAGTGAAACCAAACACCCTGAGACAATTAACAGATATGGAAGCCTAAATTCCTTGGATTCTACTGCTTCATCAGGAATTGGCAGTTACAGCACACAGATGTCTGGCACTGACAACCCAGAGCAGTTTGAGGTCCTAAAGCAACAAAAGGAAATAATAGAACAAGGAATTGACTTGTGAGTGCCCTTTTATCACCCCGGGAGGGTGGATTCTTTTGGAGCTATGAAGATTCCTGGGTTTTTCTTCCTTCTCCTCATAGATACTCATCTTGTGTTAGGAAAATACTCTGGATGTAACAGCACTTCCTCTGGTGAAAGAGGGTGTCCCCTTTGGAGCCTGTCAGCAGTGTTTTGTGTTAACCTAATTCCTCACAGCTAGAAGATGAGTACTCTGAATGTTTGTTCTTTTTTCTCCAGACCTGCTTGTCTAAAAATAAGGGGTTTATATTTGGAT